GGGGGGGGGGCGGTGAGCGGTGGGTCAGGCGGCCGCTCACCCACTTGCTCTGCCCCCAGTACGCGTCCAGCTCCTCGGGCGGGGACAGCTCCTGTGAGGAAGGCCGCGCCCGCCGCCCACCGCACCTGCGACCCTTCCGCCGCTCCATGGCCCCTGACCCTGGCCGCCTGGCCCCCAGCTCACCCGGAGACCCCGAGTGCTCGTCCAGCAGTGAGCAGTCCTGCGACACCGTCATCTACGTGGGGCCTGGCGGGACGGCACTGTCCGACCGCGAGCTCACTGACAACGAGGGCCCGCCCGACTTCGTGCCCATCATCCCCGCGCTGAGCCGCCGCAGGCCCTCCCAGGGCCCTCGAGACGCCGACCACTTCCGTTGTAGCACCTTCGCCGAGTTGCAGGAGCGGCTGGAGGGCATTGACGGCAGCGAGGGTCCCTCCGAAACCCTGAGCGTCACCAGTGGGGCCCAGCCCGGCCCGGCCTGCGGGGCCAGGAGGCCCTCCCCGCCCGAGGCCGCCGCCCCCAGGAAGGCTGTGGGCTCCCCGCTGGCGGCCAGCACACCTCGAGGCAGCCCCGGCCCGGACACCCACCGGGGTGCCCCAGAGCCCTCCAGGGCCAGCGCCGACCAGAGGGAGGGAGGCAGCGTTAGGCCTGTGCCACCCGGGCCGGACAAGGTCACCGCGGGCGGAGGCGGGAGGCCACTGCCCGGCCCGGCCCCTCCGCCTCCTCGGCAGCCAGAAGCCGGCCCAGCCCCCGAGGACCCCGGGGGCGCGGACACAGATGGTGCGGCACGGACACCCCCCGTGGGCATGAGCGGGCAGACCGGCCGCCCCCGTCCGTCTGCACGAGGCCGCCGTCTGGAGCGGGGCCTGCTGACCACCACGGTGACCCTGCAGCAGCCCGTGGAGCTGAACGGCGAGGACGAGCTGGTGTTCACGGTGGTGGAGGAGCTGTCTCTGGGCGGGCTCACCGGCTCCGGCCGCCCCGCCAGCCTGACCAGCTTCGGCAGCAACTGCTCTCTGCAGGCTCTGGCCTCCGGCTCGAGGCCCGTGAGCATCATTAGCAGTATCAACGACGAGTTCGATGCCTACACCACCCAGGCGCCCGGCGGGCCCTCAGAGGGCGCAGCCTGGGCCGGGAGCAGCCAGGGCTCCTCCATCAGCTCTCGGCTCAGCGAGGTCAGCGTGCGCGCGGACGATCGCCACAGCCCCGCGCCGCAGCCTCCCTTCGGGGCCGGCCCTGACTCGCCGGCAAGGCCCGACCCTCCGGGCCCCCCCGTCCTGGGTGGCTCCCCGGATGATGGCCGCTGTCGGTTCCCGGAGCACGGGCGATCGGACAGTCCTGGCCCGGCCCGGAGTCCTCGTCCTGGGGAAGCGGCCGCCGCAGCCCCCGCCCGAGTTGGCCGGGAGTGCCTGGCCGTGTCCCCATGGGGGGCAGCCCCGGCACAGACCATCCACTCCAGCCTTCCCCGGAAACCGAGGACTCCCTCAGCGGCCAGCCGTGCAGGCTGCCCTCGCCTGGCCCCGAGCCCGCCGGGCCCTGGAGGCCTGTTCGAGGACCCTTGGCTGCTGCGGGCAGATGAATGTGGTGCCCTCCAGGGGGTCTCTGCCGGCAGGGCCTCCAGCCCGGCCCCCGCGCTGCCTTGTGCCCGCAGGGTCGTGGACGGCTGTGAGGTGGCAGCCAGGGCAGGCCACAGGCCGGAGGCCGTGGCTCAGATCCCACCGCTGCGGAGGGGAGCCACCACACTGGGTGTGAGCACGCCCACCGCATCCTGCAGGGACGCCCTGGCTGACGCGGCTGCCTGCTTGGGCGGCCCGAAGGATGCCCCCAGCCGCAAGAAAAGTGTGGTCCCCAAGGGAGGCCTCTTCCCGAGGCCCAGCGGGGCGGCCCCCCCAGCCCCTCCTGTGCGCAAATCCAGCCTGGAGCACAAGAGTGGCCCAGCTCTGGCCGCTCCCCAGGCCGGGGGCCTCTCGCGACCTGCGGCTGCCGCCCTCCCCCGAGGGGAGGAGGAGGCCAGGCCCGGTGGCCGGGCTGACCACTCCGTCCCCAGGGCCACGTCGAGCCTGAAGGCCAGGGCTGGCAAGGCGGAGGCAGTGTCCCGTCCCACCACCCACGGCTCTCTGGAGCGGTGTGAGCTCCTGGGGCACAGCAGCGGCAAGGCCAGGGAAGCTCCCGGCAGGCCAGCCCGGGCCGTGCCCAGGCTGGGTGTACCGTCCACCAGCCCCACGCCTGGGCCCGCTCCTGCCTGCAGGGGCAGCCCAGCCAAGGGAGTGGGGGCCCCGAAGCCCCCGGCCGCAGGGGGCAAGGGCCGCAGCCTAGCAGCTGGCGGGTCGAGGGCTCTGGGTGTTCCCGTGAAGCCACTAACCCCAGCAGTGGGCAGGACCCCCGGTGGCCCCGTGATGGCGCCCCGGGTGGCCCCACGGGCAGTGCCTGGCATGGGGGCCAAGGCCAGCCGCGGCACCATCATGGGCACCAAGCAGGCGCTCCGGGCCGCCCATAGCCGCGTCAATGAGCTGGCAGCCAGCGGAGCCCCTGGCAGAGGTGGCCCCCCCTGGGGCTCAGTGGACTCGGACAGCGGCAGTGACAGTGGTGTGAACGTGGGGGAGGAGCGGCCGCCCGCGGGCCCGGCGCTGCCCTCCCCCTATAGCAAGGTGACTGCCCCACGGAGGCCCCAGCGCTGCAGCAGCGGCCACGGCAGCGACAACAGCAGCGTGCTGAGTGGCGAGCTCCCGCCCGCCATGGGCCGCACCGCCCTGTTCTACCACAGCGGTGGCAGCAGCGGCTATGAGAGTGTGCTCCGTGACAGCGAGGCCACCGGCAGTGCCTCCTCTGCCCCCGACTCCATGAGCGACAGTGGCGCCGCCTCCCCTGGCGCTCGCTCTCGAAGCCTCAGGTCTCCCAAGAAGAGGGCCACAGGTGGGTGCGGGTGCTGCCCTCCGCTGTTGGCACCTACCGCGTGCCCTCCTCTGACCCCCTGCCACCTCCGAGGCTGGGGCTGTGCTGTTAGAGCAGGCTGGCGAGTGCAAGTCTGTGCGGGTCACCCCGACGGGGCACCGGGAGCCGGGGAGGCCTTGCATTTGGGGCTCCCAGTCAGGTGCTTCCCTGGGCTCGGGCCTAGCTGCATGGGAGCCCCCTGCCATGGCCGCTCCTGCCTCCTACCCTGACCTGGGGGGACAGGGCCAGCTCCTTGCTCTGTGTGTGTGTGTGTGTGTGTGTGTGTGTGTGTGGCTGGGACGTGGGGGTGGGGCGTGGGGGTAGGGGTGGGGAGCAGGGAGGGACATCCTGGGAGCTATGGGTGGGGCGCGCCCCTCAAGCCTGGCTCAGGAGTCTGTCCTGGGGCAGCTGGGCTAGGGAGTGTTATGTTGGGCCTCAGCCTGGCTGGCTGGGGTATTGAGGGCTGCCCTCAGGGGAGGGCCAACCAGGAGGCTGTAAGCGGCAGCTGGAGTGGCTGTCCAGGTGACAAGTGGCCTGGAGAGGCTGGGGATTTCTGGATCTGGCCCCGGTGCTATCTTCTCTCTCAGGCCCTGGGCAGGCTGGGCCGGGGCTGGGGCCTGGGCCTGGGCCCCCAGTCTCCGTGCATCCAGGGCCCGGCTCTCTGTTCCAGGTCTGCAGAGGAGACGGCTGATCCCAGCCCCAATGCCCGACACGGCTGCCCTGGGCCGCAAGCCCAGCCTCCCCGGGCAGTGGGTGGACCTGCCCCCGCCCCTGGCCGGCTCCCTGAAGGAGCCCTTCGAGATCAAGGTGTATGAGATCGACGACGTGGAGCGGCTGCAGCGGCACCGCCCGCTCCCGAGGGAGGATCCGCCTGAGGTCAGGGCCAGCAGGGGGCTGGGCGGCTGGTGGTGAGAGGTCCTGGGATGGCAGGGTGGGCCCTGGAGGGTGTGGCCCAGCGGCCAGCTGACCCTACTTTCCCCTCTTGCCCTCAGCCTTCCCAGGATGTGGAGAAGGTAGGAACAACCTTGAACCTGTGGTGGCTGCTGATGCCCACTTGGGCAGAGTGGGTGGTCCGAGGGGTCCTGAGGTCACCACTGTTGTCCCCTGGAGTTGCATCTGATGGAGCTTTTACCACAGCTGTTTCCCACAACCTGGGCCCAGGCACTGGCAGGCTGCTTTGGGAGCACCTGGTGGGAGCCCCACCTTGTGGGGGGCCCGGGTCTGACCCCTGCCCACCTCTGAGGCCCCACCGTACATTGGCCCAGGCCTGGGGGCTGGAGGGAGACCCTCCTTCCAAAGCTGGGGATGGTGGGAGAGCATGGGAGTGGGCTGCCCTCCATGCCTGAGCACCCCCACCCCGCCCATCCCTTGCCCCCCAGGGTCCGGCGTGCAACAGTGCCACGCTGCGGCTGGCTGAGCGCAGGCAGCAGAGGCTACGAGAGGTTCAGGCCAAGCGTGAGCACCTATGCGGGGAGCTGGCCGAGACCCAGGGCCGGCTGATGGTGGAGCCCGGCCGCTGGCTGGAGCAGTGTGAGTCCCCGGCCCCTCGGTGCTGGGAGGAGCAGTGTGGCCCCGCCCCTCTTCTGGGAGGGTCAGTGTGGCCCCGCCCCCCTGCTGGGAGGATCAGTGCGAGCCCCGCCCCTCTGCTGGGAGGAGCAGTGTG